AAGAAGAAGAAGAAGAAATGCTGCCAACCATCGTCACTGGAATAGAACACGTGGTCATTATAGCCGTATACGGGGCAACTTTCAGTCTAGATACAGCAATTATGACTGGGGTTTCCATTCCGGTGAAGATGGCAGCAAACGGAATCCATGGAGAGAAATACAAGAGATAGATTGAGGCATTCCTCTCCCCCCCCCCCCTCCCCCCCCTTCCCTCCCTACGTTTCTGAATGTACCTGACCACACTTTGAGGCAGATGTATTGCGAGTACACTATTTGATATATGCTAGCATCTGTGTTATACTGTTTTCAGATGGGTAATGTATATGAGCTACGCTAGTGAATGGGCTATGCTTGTACATGTCCTAGTATCTCTTTTATACTAGTGCATACGGGCTATGTTTGTACGTGGGCGATGCTTGTTCACGTGCTAAATGAGAGTACATGTGCTATACTACCGCAGTATATAGGATATGCTTGTTCATGTGCTATGTGTGTATATGCGCTAGTATCTGCGTTATACGGGTGTACGGGGTATGCTTGAAAATGTGCTATACTAGTAGATTATGGGCTATGCTTGTACATTTGCTATACAAATATATATGCTGTCTTTGGTGCATGTGCTATTCTTGCATGTGGTACTCAAGAGCATGTGCTACTCTTAGTAGTGCATGTGCTATTTTAGAGCATGTGCTATTCTAGTGCATGTGCTGTTCTAGGATATGTATCATACTAGAGTTACTGTATGTGCTATCTGCTAGGATTGCACTAAGGCTCCCGCAAAAAGCAACAGGAAAAAAAAAAAAAAAAAAAAAAAAAAACAACAACAACAACAACAACAACATTTAAACAATGATTAAAGATGATTAAACCACCAGCACACAGCCATACATCAGCCGCAGACTCCTCACTGCGACTTTCGGAGGCCGGAAAAGTGGCTGTGGGCCCCTCACCTCGACTTCTGGAGGCCGGAAACGCGACGAAGGCCACTGTTGAAATTCGTCAACGACGGCCAAGCCCCGAAACTTGTGGTGGTGGGGACCACTTCATTTTCTGCAAGGCTGGGGCCGAGTACTGGCAGTTTGCGCATCTGCTCATGTACTACGCATGAAAAATAATAAAATATCCTATTGCGGCATGGCCTGCATTTCAACGGTGTTCTTGCTACCAGGAGTCAGTTACCTGCCTGCGGGCTATTTGCTTCACTGGGCCCATCCTTGCCTTTCTTTTTCTTCCATTTCTTCTTTTTTTCAATTGCTTTCGTTTTAAATAGCTGGAGCAAGTTCCTCCCGAACTGATCGTTTGGCGTACTCACAATAGGACCTTTTGGAGTCAGCTCCGGGCGTAATTGGAGTCACATACAGCCATGGTCGGCCGTAATTGCCGTCAGATACATCCAGAAAAGTCCATGTGTGAGTACCCTCTCACCTGCGTTTGCACCGTGATCAATCTCTGGCTTGAACCTTATGCTTGCCGTTGCACCGCCGGCCGTGGGCCATTCTTGGATCTCCTTGTTATACGTTCCCGAGTCGTGCCAACCAAGCCGTACCTGTCCCATTCAACAACACAGCTGCATTGCTGTCATCAGCAAAGGCCAGTGACAGAGAAGAGGAGGTGAGGGAGGGAGAGGGAGGGAGAGGGAGGGAGAGGGATGGAGAGGTAGGGAGAGGTAGGGAGAGGTAGGGAGAGGTAGGGAGAGGGAGGGGG